ACTCAATTATATTTACATTAATTTTTTTCTTCTTTATTTTGTTTAAAAAGTCACTTTTAAATAATTTTGATTTTTTAGTCATGCGTATAATTTTCGAAGAGGTTTTTCTAATTTATCTATTATTTCGTGTTTTATTTTTTTGTATGGATAAACTATGTTTTTTAAAATAATAAAACATATCTATTTTCATATGATATTTTTAATATGCATGGGCTTGCGAGTTTTTTTTATTTAATCAATTTAATATCAAGTTTTTTCAAAATTAAATATCTTGATTCACATATGTTTCTTAATTTTTCAAGTTTTGTTTTTAAATATCATTAATAATTTTTTATCTATTTATCCGCACATATAACATATAGTTTGTTTGGTTACATATATATACATAAATCTTTTGATTTGTAATGCTACAGAAATACATTAAAAAAACTTGCATATATAATTTTTTATAGAAAATAAAAATATTTAACCAATGACAGACCACAAATCACACGGTTAATAGATATTAAAAGCTGAGCTTCCCTTGTGATGGTTGTAAAACCCCATCCGAAGAAAAACTTGGATCACAGTTGAAGAGAATCGACTCTTAATAATCCTCTAATATTTTTTTAAAAATAATATTTTGGCAAGTCTACCCTAATTAAAAAGATTTATATATATATAAACACATCAATCATTTTTATTGGATAGCAATAAGACAAGTGCACTCCAACAAGTTAATATTAAGCTTTTGAATTTGTTTTAGAATGCGGTTGGCCTGTATTTTTGTTAAAATTTAATGTGTTTTTATAAAAAAATATATTATATTAATATATTTTAAAATAAAAAAATTTAGAAAACAAATTATAAACACATGTTTTTTAATGATTTGTTTGAAGTTTTTATATGGATGTGTTGGTGTGTGAGATACGATAATATAAAATATTTATATTATGATAAAATAAATTATAATATATTCTATGTATTTTTTGAATATATCAATGATTCATCATTGTTCAGTTAAAAGTTGTTTCAGAATAAAACTCTTATGGTAAAACAAGTTTTCTCAATATTATTATTTTTATTTTTTCACAGTGTTTATTATTTATTTATCAATCGGAATATACTAGAATCCAATCAGTTTTATAAAAATAATATCTCTTTGCAGGGGCTTAATTGCAAAAACCTCAAGATTTCAAACTAGACTGTACATGCCATAAAATTAGAGGATCAAATAGATTTTCGGTAACGAGTAAATTATCATAAAAATCAAATACAAGCGCTAAAATGGACAATTAAAAAAATAAAAAACTAAAATAAACTTTAACATAAACCAATCTAATCTTATTTTGGTGCCGGGATACGTGCATCAATCACAAGATAAAACGTACATTATTCAATCCGATCCAAGATGCCAAACACATTCTAAATATCTAATCAGTGAATAATATCTCATAACAAAATATCGAATAACTCCAAGCTATGAATTCAGGAAATTTGAAAAACAGAAGAACGTCACTGTGAAGCCAGCCTCCTGCCTCTTGTTAGCATTACAGCTAGCTGATTTAAACCAGGCCGCTGAATATACGCGTTCCTGTTTCTTGGAATTTTGGACAGCGCAGTTTTTGTCTGTATCTTCTTCTTGGTTTGAATTTCTGGACATCCTCATCATGGACACTACCTTCTGTTTTGAATTTTCCAGCAACCTTTTGGACAGTGCTCGAGCATTCCTTGTCCATGGAGAATCATGGGATAGGGTTTTCAGCAAGAAAAAAGAAAAAAATTCCTATAATTTCTACTCTTCAAAACTGTTTTTTTAAATTACTTTAAAATAATTTATATATTTTTTAGAAAATAATAATATATTTTCAAGCAATTTTTTTTAAATAATAACAGCTACAAGAATAACAGTTAAAACATCCTTAACATATTCAAATTTCAAAATTTTAAGGTGGTTCTAATTAATTTCTCAATGAAATTTAAAAAATATTTTACACTAGATTATAGACTCTCGTTCGTGGTTATTAAATTTGGCTTTAAATGGTGAGTTGATCCAATAAATCACTTAGTTGCGAGCATGACGTTGTAAAGTTTCACTTTTTACATTATCCTGATGAGATATGGGTGACTAGGTAAATGGAACCGATCAAACCCGCTTTAAATCTGAATGAGACGAGATTATTTTTATTATTATTAAAAAATAAAATCATGATATTTTTATAAAAGTAAAAATAATAATCTAAATTGCCTGGATGATTCACAAGTTAACTTCGAAGGTGTTTGGCGCTGCTGGTTTTTTTAATATATCATGTAAGAAAATAAAAATATTACAATATATTTTTAAATAAAAAATATTTTAAAAAAATTAGATAATATAATCCTAGAACCCTGGTAATTAATCTCATGACACAAATCTTTTTGGGTCAACCTAGGAACATAAGATAGTTGAATTAAAGCATGTCTTACATGATTAAATGTCATGTTTGTTTTTGTAAAATATTTTTAAAAAATTTGAATTTTTTTATTTTTTACTTTAAATTAATATGTTTTTGATGTTTTTAAATTATTTTGATGCAATAATATAAAAAATAATTTTAAAAATATTATTTTAATATATTTATAAATAAAAAATATCTTTAAAAATATCCATAACCACAATAAATTTTAAAAAGAAAAACCGATCAATATTAACATGTTCATGGCATGAAAAATTCACTCCATTTATTGCATAGCCCACCACAACAAAACATTTAACAATTTATAAATCCCAAGCCAGAACCTTTACGGGCAAATACAACCATTCAATCCAACAACACTTGAGAAACCCTTGCTTATTAATTAATCAAACAACCCTCATAAAAGTGCACGATGAGATTTGAAATCTGCTTGTTTTTATATCATTCTTGACGATTATTGCGTTCTTCCACCTTTCATGAAAGGGTTTTTCTAATAAATACGAATGGAATGATTTATTAGCAATGTTGAATTACAAATTAAGACTATATTTACTTTAATCATGGGAATAGATTAATGTAAGTGAGACATCCCAGTTATTTAAATCAAAACATATACTTGAATTGATTCTAAAAACATTAACCTTAAAGTGATCTTGTCTCCCGGATAGGTCAACTTACGATCTTATTGTTTTAATTTTTTTAAATATATTTTTCAAGTTAATCTTACCTTTTTATAAACTAAATTTTATATTAAGTCAAACTTAAATCATGTCTGATAACATGGTGTTTAAAAATACAATAACGGTTGTATTTTAATATATTTTTTATCTATAAATATATTAAAATAATAAAAAAATAATAAAAAAAAATAAAATTTTAAATCCAAACTCAAAAACTCACCTTGATCTCTATTTAGGGAAGAGGGGACAGTTGCATGAAACTGTAACGGGATTATTTGAAATCTAGGGACCTGTCTGTCTTCGCCACCACTCCACTGATGATTTTTCAAAATGAGCAGTGTGATGGCTTGCGATATACTGCAAGATATGCAATAGTATTATGCAGTAAATATTATTTGACTAAGGAGAGTCAACAATGGTTTTCCAGCAGAGTCTCCACTAAGGCTGGCAGTGTCTCCTCAAATATAAACGCCACGCGTTTGGGCGCAGGTGGGGTGCCCTATCCATTTCCATCAACACTCACTGCCCTCGTGGTCCCTACCCTTTTTTTTTCTTATATACATTCAAATAATAATAATTATCAAATTTGCACTAACAATTTTTTAAATCCTGTTCAAGTACTGTTCTCACAATTTTTAAATTTCATCACGGAAGATTATTAACTTTTTTTTTTAATTTAAATTTTAGGATTAATATTTTAAAAAAATTATTAATGTCTCCCATATATACACGTATACAAAGTGTATCTTTAAATCTTTTTTTTCTTATATACATTCAAATAATAATAATTATCAAATTTGCAATCACAATTTTTTAAATCCTGTTCAAGTACTGTTTTCACAATTTTTTAATTTAAATTTTAGGATTAATATTTTAAAAAAATTATTAATGTCTCCCATATATACACGTATACAAAGTGTATCTTTAAATCTTTTTTTTTTAAAATGCACTTATTATCCTTGACATGTAAATTTACACAAAAATATTTTTTATCATTATTTTTTTATATAGAATAAAAATATATTTGGGAGTGTGATTACTTTAGTTTTTAAAATGTTTTTGATTCTGAAATATATTAAAATAATATTTTTTTATTTTTTAAAAAATTATCTTTGAAATTAATGTATTAAAATGATTTAAAATATAAAAATTAAATTATTTTTTAACAAAAAATTTATATTATTTGAAAACAAGATTTGAGCCATGTTTCCAAATATTCTCCAAAATAATTTAACTGCAATAAAAGAGTTGTTTAATGATGCAGTCTAACTTAATTATTAAATTATTATTGGCTTGAAAAATATTAAATAATATTTTTATATGTGTTTTTAATAATTTTGTAGCATTAATGATAAAAAATAAAAATAAATTATAAAAAATATTATTCTAACACACTTTTAATTGACATTAATCTCGTACCATACTGCAAAATATTCACAAAATTATTTTTTAAAATATTTGAAGTTCACTTTTTTAATTGTGACGTTCAAACTAAGACACAACTAATTAAATTTGGTTTTATGACAGTCAATTTTTTAAAATTAATTTCCCATACTAAAACTAATTTCAACCATGAAACTCAAACTATCTATATTATCATGTATTATTATTTAAGATATCATTATCCACAACAACTTAAAATTTTGAACCCTAGTACATGAAAGAACCCTAATCATAACAATTCTCATCGATTATGCGATCAATTTATCTAAATACTGCCAAACATGTCCAAACCCCAAGCTTCTCAATATTGAAAATCGAAATTGCATTATAATTTAAAGTAGAATCTAAAAAAATTGAAAATAAATTTGAAAAAAAGAAAAAAACAGATAAACCACCGCCAACTCTTTTAACCTAAAAGACCATCCTTGTCATTTACAGGTGGTGACTCCACACACACTCTCTCTCTCCAACTTGAAACCCTACCTATTACTCCACCATTACCACTACACATAAACAAATTCAAACTACAAAAAAATATTATAAAAAAATATATCTAGTAGTACTAGAAGCGAAAGAGCCCTTCTCTCATCTTCTCTTACAATACATCTTCACTAATAAAATTCCCTTCTTCTAGTACTCTCCATTTCCCTTCCTCTTCCTCCTCTTCTTGTTGTTGTTCTTTCACTTTCTTACTCCAAAACAAAAAATGGGTTCAACAAACCAAGACCCAATTCACCACCAAACAACCCAAGTCCATTTTCACCATGAAGAAGAACAAGGACCATAGTTTGGAGGGGGGGAGGGGTTCTTTTGTGTTGTAACATTGGCTACATTATGGGGAAAGTGGGAAATAGTGTTAATGGAAGTGAAGAGGAACAAGGGATAGGTACAAGTGGTGAGAATGAAGAGCAAAATGTAGAGAGGGGATTTTATTGTTTTGGATGTAAAGGGAATTTTGCTGTTACTAGGTTTATCGGGTTTAGATGTGTTTTTGTCCTTTTATTATCTGTTGCTGTTTTTCTTTCTGCTGTTTTTTGGTTGCCTCCTTTTCTACATTTTGCAGATCAGGGGAATCTGGATCTAGATTACAGGATTAAAGGTAGGGTTTTTGTTTTATTTACTTTTATTTTTCTGGGCTTTTGAATTCGTGGGTGCTTGGCATTTTGAACCGTGGATAGATCTAGATTATTATTTTTTTATTTTTATTGAATTCGTGGGTTTTTGCTGGCTGAGGTTGTTAAGTAGTGTTTGGTTGATAATGTGAGAAAAAAAAGGAACGTAGAATTTATTAATTTGCCTTTTTTACGGGGTTGCTTGAATTTAGGGTTTCTTAAGTGGTTATGATCTGTTGGTGGGTATTGGGTTGGTGAGAAAATATATGGAAAGAAATTGATTGAGAATACTGTGAAACAAGGTAAGACTATATGGTATTTACCGATTAAAGAGTCTGTATCTTGAAAATCTTATTGTGGTTTGACAACTTTGATTTTTTAGATTTGTTCAAGCTAGGAATACAACTGATGGAAGAATTTGGGTATTCGAATTTCCATATTAAGGTGGTGATCTTTTGCATCTCTAATTTGGGTAAAGGTCTGGTCTTTTGAGGAATAGACCTATACTTTGAGACATGGGTTTCTGAAACATGGATTGTTTAAGACTGAAATATAGACGGTCAGGATATGTTGTATTGTTTGTTAAATATAACCTATGCTTTATGCAAAACAAGAAACATTGATTGCACAAAATAATTGCTCCATTATGGGCCCCCTGAAACTAATTGAGTGTTTGTTCATATTACAAAAACTGGACTTTGTACGCTGCATATGTGCTGTGTAACGATAGAGAAGCCACTATGTTCTTGCTAAAGCTTTTTCTTTGTTTTGAATAATTCGTTGTTGCAATTTGTCTCTGCTGAGTAGCACACTCGTGCTGTTGACTAGTCTCATAATGAATATGTACCGAGTATGAATTTACAAGCTTCAAATGTGTTAGCCTCTCCACCACTACCTCTCCACTCAGTAGTTTAGATATTTGGATTGAAGATTTAATATGGTGTTGGAGTCTGCAACAGTATCATTGTTTCATAAATTTTAGGCTTATATTTTAGTCATGCATGGCTGGTTTTGTTAGATGCTGCAAGTGAGTTAGTGCTGAGGTCTATAATGAGTAATGATTTTGTTTGGCTAACAGTCCCAATTAATTGTGACAGAAGTGTTATTAAGCTTAGTTCAGCTTGTGGATAATATGAACTGAATTTGTGACTTTAATTGAGTTACCGTTGGTGTTCTTCATGACTGATCATGGAAATGGATGCTGAAAACGCATATATGTAGTGTTCATGCATTTTTTATTTTAAATTAGGAATCACCTTCAGTCCTATGGTGCCATACCTTTTGAAATCTAGACGTCTAATTAAATGTATTGGAAAATATAAGCGGAAATGATATGAGTGAAACTATCACCTGGTAATTACAGGCTTTTAGGTTTGTTTCATCAACGCAGCATGTGTTTTTGGATTCTGTTGTGAGATAAACATCAACATATTTGTAGATATCCCTGGATGCTTATGCTATTCATGAAACTCACTCTTTCAATCTTTGGTATCAATGTGTTCAATTTTCATGTATTCAGATCATGATATAGTAGCAAGCTTCCTAGTCAAAAAGCCAGTTTTCTTGCTGGAGGACAAGATATTGAAGCTTCAGGGTGATATTTTTGATGAGATGAGAGTTCCTAATACCAAGGTATTCACCTGTTCCATTAGTCTTATATTATTTAATCTGTACTTCCTCAATTTTGATTCAAATTTATATGTTCAAACAGGTGGTTATCCTGTCTCTAGAACCCTTGGCTGGATCAAACAGAACAAAGGTTGTGTTTGGGGTTGATCCACTTGAAAATGATTCAAAAATATCATCAACTGATCAAAGTCTAATCAGGGGCTCTTTTGTGTCTTTGGTTGTTAATGATTCATCTCTCGAACTTACTAAGTCCTTGTTTGGAGATGCATCCTCTTTTGAGGTACTTAAATTTCCTGGTGGAATTACTATTATTCCACCACAGAGAGCTTTTCTTTTGCAGAAAGTGCAAATACCATTCAACTTCACCTTGAACTTCTCTATTCTTCAAATACGGGAAAAATTTGCAGAGCTGAAAAGTCAACTGAAGGCAGGACTGCATCTAACGCCCATTGAGGTTTGACAATAATTTGCCCCTTCTCTTTTAAAACATGACCTGTTTTGCAGTTTATGTAACATCTATTTATATCTATACATGCATGTGAGGTTTTACTTTACTGCAGTGGTTCAGTATTCCAACTTTTGAATATGTTTGAGATGGTAGTGTGGGGTGGTTGTGTGTTGGGAGTGGGACCTTTGAAATTGTGTAAAAAGTGACTTGTTAGAAATATGTAAAGGAAGGGTTTTGTTTCTTAACTAGACTCTTCTTTTCTGACAGGGAGAAAAAAACTCATGCGTGTAATAACTTTTCATTCATCAAAGATTTTAGTCTATGATTACCCAAATAGAGATATGCCTATCAGTTTCTCGAGAATTTATTCATTTACCACTCTAGTGTTTGCTATGCAGAATCTGATGGTTTCTTTTGTGGATGCAGAACTTGTATATAGAATTATGGAATTCACAAGGTTCAACGGTGTCTCCCCCTACCACTGTTAAATCGTCAGTGCTGCTGGTAATTGGGAATACCCCCAGGTTAAAGCAACTGGCTCAAACTATCAGGGGTAATTCTAAGAATCTTGGCCTGAATAACACTATTTTTGGTAGAGTGAAGCAAGTTCGTCTATCATCTATATTGCAACATTCACTCCATGGTGGTGAAGGCAGTGCCCCTTCACCTTCTCCTGCTTCTCTTCCTCACCACCACCATCAACACCACCACCACCACCACCACCACCACCACCATGGTGCCCATGCTCCTGCAATTTCACCTATACCTCCACCTAAGAGAAGTGCACCTGCACCTGTTGATGATTCACCTGCCCCATTGAAAAGTTCATCTGCACCTCATAACAACCATGAAGCAAATCCTCCTGGTTGTCAGTTTGGGCGCAAAAGAAGTTTCACAGGGAATGGTGGAAAGAGGTCTCATTTAGCCCCTTCAGTGGCACCTAGTAGTCCTCCTCACTTTGCTGCCTTGCCTCAACCCCACAATGATCGACCAGAAGTATCACCAGCACCTTCATCGATTTCCCAATCAATTCCTGCATCTAGTCCTTTGCCAAATGTAGTTTTTGCCCATGCTCAGCCACCATCAAGGGGTAAATCTGATGAGCATTCTGACACAATGCTGTCATTTTCACCTTCATCATCGCCATCTTCATGTGAGTAGATTTAAAATCTTTACATACCAAGTGCTTCACATCACATACAAATCTAACACTAGTTTCTTTGTAAATGCGATGATGAATTTGTCTTTGCTGGCTGCTCATCCTCATCATTCATTCTGGTTCTTTCTCTGCAAATTGTTTATGAAACGTTGTGGGTTGATTGCTTGATATACTGATTCTAGTTTGTTTTCTGTTTTGTACTTGGTATGCATTTTTCTCAAGCTTGAGTTTCTGTGACATTCATTTTCTAAAATCATCTTTTTCCTCAGACTGGACAATGGAAATCACTCATTACGAATCTATCATGCACCAATGAGTTGGAACTGTTGGACCATATTATGTAAATGTTTATATTCCCATGAATGCCATGGACTAAACATATCTACTTTTGCAGCTTCTGCAGGTCTTCTCACTGTTCAATGGGTACTATCCCTAATTGCTGTTGTATTACAACTATAACAAAAGAAAAGGGGAACAATCTATTTTCTAGTTAAAATCACTGCTCTGGGATTCAGAATTCAATTCAGACAGACCGAACAAACTGGAGGAGTTTAAGTGGGAGCAACGCAAAGGGCTTGCCTCCCATCCTAGTGGATATATGTCTTTCTTTCTTTTTTGTTTTCGTGCGTGTAAATATTTGATTAAAAGTTCAGCATACAGATGCATTTTGAGGTCAAAGTCACAGAGGTGGCAGGCCTTTGATTGCATTGCTGCTGTTTTGTGTATTCTCTTCCGCAGAAATGTAAGGAGGGAAAAATGCCAAAAAAAAAAAAGAGAAGAGAACAAGTGTATCAAATTACCATTTTGTATCTCATCCCTGCTAAGTCAATCAGGTATGATTTTTGATCCCAAGTGTCCCTCATTCTCTTTCAGCCCAGCTGTTGAACTCATCTAGCTTTATAGCGTATTTGGTGGTTGAATATTGGGTAAATATGGTTCAATCTTGATCTCGTATTAACGTCACAGGTCAGACGAGCACTTTGGTCAGCAAACTTTTATTAATATTATAGTTGTTTGGGTTCCATAATAAGAGCAACCCTAACCCCGCACTACTGTTATGTGTGTATCATCAAGCTAAGCATTGTTTGGTTATTGATAGGTTGAGTCTTCAAAGGAAAAAAAATTTATACTGATCAGTGCCCAGTAATGCACTGGCATGGCACGAGCGCCGCAGATGCTAGTTCATGGAATCGTGCTCCGTCACGTTTCGTGCTCCATTGGCCCGAGAAAGGATCAACTGCTTGGCAAAAACAAGCAAATAAACTAGAGGCGGCCTAGATGGGAAAAAAGTTACCTCGTTTTTTAATTCTTTAAATTTTTTGGAAACAATATTTTTTTTTAATATTGATTTATTTTTTATTTGGTTGCCTAACTGATTGGACATCTGTTGGGTTTGCCAGATTGATTTATTATTTTTAATTATATATATATTTTTTATTTAATATTAAATTAATTATAAATTAAATTTCATGATTTGTTTTATATGTATTTTATGTTATTTTAATTATTTAATGGATTAATTCGTGTTGATTCAAGTTAGTTTTTTTATTTTTTTTGAATTTTATCATTAATATTAAAAATTGAGTTTGATTTGATTTATACGAGGATATTCTAACTTCATGATTAGAATAATGGGGTTTGATATTTTAATTTTTATTAAATTGAGTTGTTTTTTTTTAAGAAGTTATCTAAGTTCTATAATTCAAGTTACGGGTCCTCTAATATTGAATTTGTTTTTTATTGAGTTTCTCAACTCATGTTCTATATTGTAGATTTGACAAATTAATTCGGTTGACTTAGTTTTTTTTTTTAATTTTATCATTTAATATTATATTTGATTGAAAATTAAGTTTTATTATTTATTATAGTTTGTTTTTTTATAAAGTTATCTTGATCTTATAACTCAAGTTGTCTTGATTTTTTTTGTTATTTTTTAATTAATTATTTTATAAATTTCACAATTTAATATTGGATTTAATAAGGTCACTTGAGAATTGAATTTCATAATTTATTTTGATTTATCTTTTATGAGGTTATTTTAGTCTTGTGACTAAAGTTATAGATTTTATAAGTTAAATCAAGATATTTTTTAATTTTTTATGAAATTATCATGGTCTCGATCACGAGTTTGATTAATTTATTCGGGTAATTTTTATGATTTTTTAATTGATTTTTTTTCTTAATCTTATCCTTCAATATCAAACTAATTGAGAATTAAATTTTATGATTTGTTTTTTAAAAAGTTGTTTTTGTATTGTGACTCGGGTTATGAGTTTTATAAGTTAACTATGATTGTTTGTTTATATATTTTTTTTAAAATTTTATTTTTTAACAATAGATTCATTGATAATTACATTTTATATTTAATTTTAATATGCTTTTTATATAGTTATTTTGATCTCATAACTTGAATTGTGAATTTAATCTGTTAGGTTAAGTTCATTCAAGTTGATCTAATATATTATTATATTAGTATATATATAAAAAATGTTACTTTGGATTCTTTTAAATTAAATTATATTTATATTTGTACATTGAATTTGGGTTGTTTGTAGACCTATAAAGTTAATCAAATTACATCATGTTAATCTTATGGGACTTATTTTTTTTTTCCCTGCAGAAAAGACAAACAATATATATATATATCATCTTAGTACTCTGTGAATTGCTCAGTATTCATGCTAAATTCTGTATGTGGTGGCAGATTTTCTATCCACTTCCCTTATCATGAGTGAGTGAACTAGCTAGCTTTGTCTAGCCGAGCAAAATATATGCTTTGTGTTTTGAGGTATTATTAAAAATATATGGGTGAGCAAATCAGTAATATTATCTGGAATATTTATAAAAATGGACTCAAAATTAATTGGAATTTTTTTTCCATTCTGTTAAATAATTCCAGTCAAAATATTTTATTTTTAAAAAATTAGTTAAATTTAATTTTAGTTTTAAATTTTCAAAAAAAAAAGAGACCAAAACCAGGCCGGATATAAGAAATTAAATGTTTATTAAATCAAAGCATCTGAAAAACAGTCGAGCTAGAGGCCCATTGATTTAAATTAGATTTATTCGGTTTAAATAAATGCAACACTGAAGTGAACCGAATCAAATCAATCGGTTTAATTTTCTTATTTGGTTCGATCCTGTTTAGATTTTTAAAATGAAAGATTTTATTTTCTATCCACTGAAAAAAATCTGAGAGAAAGAGACAAGAAGAACATCCTTATAATATGGCAAGAGACAACAAAAAACAATAGCTTCTGCGCTTTATTCTGCTGTTCTTAATCATTGTTATTTGGTCCATCTCAAGTTCGAAATTCTCTTTCTTATTATTAAGAATGATTTATAATTTTATTTGGGAATATTAAAAATATTTTTTAAAATAAGATGAAGATAACATAGAAAATAAAATAAAATAAATTTTATTTCTTTTTAAATACATAAATTCAACTTATTTATCAACTAATTTCAAATAAAACACTATAATTAAATTTAATTTCAGTAAGGAATTGATTTCAAATAAAGCGCATGGACTATAAATATTAAAAAGAGAGGTTGGAAATGAGGTTAACTTTTAATTATTTAGAGTTTGTTGGTATTGTGATAATAATTTTTTTAAATAATTTTCACTTATAAATATGTTAAAATATAATTATTTTAAAAATAATTAACATATTTTTTTTTGTCGAGATCATAATCCAAACTAAATTTTTAATAGGATAAAACCAAGTTAATTCCTTCTTTTATTTTTGGTGCAACCCAAACTAGTCTGAACTCTGAATCAATCATGTTCCAGATAAATTCGTTGAGCTAAATAACTATGATAACATGCATATCAAAAAAAGAAAAGCATTCATGTCAGGCAACTACTAGAAAGTAAAAACCGATTCATTTTTTGCCTTTCTTGAAAACAGCAGGGGTGTGTCTCTGTATATATTCAGACACACGTAAGTTTGTTAATAAATGGAGGTGGATCCAGAAACAAGGGACACAAAGTTGGGAGAAGGTTTGAATTTCCATTTCTCTCTCTCCGAGTCATGACACGTAAGTGTGTGTGAGATTTTCCCGTGAAAAGAGCTCTGAATTTGCATCTTTCTAACCAGCTAAAAGACACACTCTTCTTGTCTTTTTCCTATTCACAGAAAAATATCAGAGCTCAGCAACTTGCATATTCTCTTTCCAATAAAGAATCAATAAAAATATCTTTGCATTGAGAGAGTGATATCCATTTCCCGATCTGCAAAGTAATCTTTCACCTCTCTTTTTGTTCCATTGGAACCAAACAAATCTCACTGTTAGATTCCCCTGTATGTATCTATAAGAGGCACAGCGGTTTGCTACTCTTGAACAAAACGTGGAAACCAGCCTGTTTTGGTTGAAGTTAAGGTTATTGCTGCTCATATTTCGGTTAAAGATTCAGTCTTTTTCTCCTTTTCAAGTTAATCACTTGTAATTTTGATCTGGGCACTTGCTGTTTTTGGTCAAAATGTAGAATTTTGAATCAATTCTTCAAGTTCTTAATGTTTAGCCTTTTGGATTGTTTTAGTTATGCTAATGTTTTTCACTTAGTTTTGCAAGATTTTACTTTTTTAAGTAGATACTAACAGAATGCAAATTGCTTTCAAGAAATATTATCAGGGTCTGATTTGTCTCTGAAAGAAATGGCGAATTTGGGATTGTTTTCTGGGACCAAGACAGCGAAGTCGGTGAATGTGAGTTTTATATTACCATATTATACTCAATGGGGTCAGAGCCTGCTTGTGTGTGGATCTGAACGAGTCCTGGGTTCATGGGATGTGAAGAAAGGCTTGTTATTGAGCCCTGTGCATCAAGGTGAGGAGCTCATATGGGGTGGAAGTATCTCAGTACCAAGTGAATTCAGTGGTGAGTATAGTTACTATGTGGTGGATGATAAGAAGAGTGTGTTGAGATGGGAGATGGGAAAGAAGCGTAAATTAGTATTGCCCGAGGGGATAAATGGTGGAGAGCATGTGGAGCTTCATGATCTTTGGCAGGTGACGCTTTGCGCTCCATTCTTCCATTCCTTTTCATGCTTTGCGAATTGGTGTTTCCCATATTCATCTTGCAGAAAATGTTTTTTTTTAAAGGGTTCTTTCTGTTCCCATTATTCTGGAAATGTATGTAAAGGCATTATTCTGCCATATAACCCAACAGATTTCTTGTAGATTGAAGAAGTCTAATAACAACAATTGCTTCTTCATAGTTAGGATTATGTTGGCTTAATAATGATTCGTTGACTAGAGGAGTGTATAATTTCTTAATTAAAAAATTGGTGGTTTCTTTACATGTAACTTCGATGATGTAAACGTTCATTTTCATGGAATCCAGGCTGGTGGTGATGCCATCCCTTTCAGAAGTGCCTTCAAAGATGTCATCTTTCGTCGAAGTTGGGGTTTGAACATAGAGAGACCCCTTGGGATTCAGAATAAGTTAGACAAGGAAGGTAGTTGTATAGGCTTATTTATTATTCACCCATCATTCTTATTAATGTTTGTGCCTGATTTCTGCTTGCTAACCCTTTTCCTTTGTGATCTTTGAACTGCAGTAGATGCCGTCGTTGTCCATTTCAAAATTTGCTGCCCAAATGTAGAAGAAGAGACATCAGTAAATTCTCTTTCTCCCTATTGAGAGCTGCCCACATTTGTGCAAGCAAAGTTATGCACGATCTTATCAGCATTGCACCTATTTATGAAGTATGATATGTCCAGGTATACGTAATTGGCAGCACTGCAAAGTTAGGGCAGTGGAAAGTTCAGGATGGACTTAAACTTAACTATGCTGGTGACTCAGTTTGGCAGGCAGATGCTTTGATGCAGAAGGGTGATTTTCCA